CATCTCTCAGACCCCAAATGCGCATGTGCACTCAAATGGAGTGGGACAAAGTCATCAGCCTAGTCACCTCCCTCTGGTCACCATCTCTCCTAGGCACCCCAAATCTCAACTATAAGTGTAGCTTGGAGTCATTAATAGGATAAGATGTCTTTCTCACATCCTACATCTTAAAAAAATACTATACTCTTGGGAAAACAAATGTATTTAATATACCATGAGGTTAGCAATGATTAATTTCAACACCGTTCAATACAAACTTTGCATGTATTTATTTATTTTATCCTTAAGGCAAAATTTAGATTTTTAACTGATGTGTACAGAATTCTTGTCAGTTTTGCATTGAGAAAAATTAAAGTACATCTCTAGAAATTTAATAAATTTAGGAAACAGTGTTAATGACTATATATAAAGACATTACCCAATACAATTGTATCTCATTTATGTAGTAACAAAACACTTATTTAATAAATGTTGGTTAATGTAGATCAAGTTTTAATTTCAGGGACACTTTAATACATGTCAAAATATTTTACTGCTTCGTTTAACCTTTAGATGTACATTGTGTGGCAGAGATCAACCTGTTATTTTTGTATGCACTAGATTATGCAGCCTTAACTCTGTACCTGAATTTCTCCTGATCTAATCAAAAATTGTCATGGGGTGGGGACAGAAAAACAACCACCAAAGCAGTAGGCAGCTGCTCCCAGGACTTTTCTTGTGTTAGTTTAGTCAAGAAGTTCCCACAGTCCTCTCTGCTTCCCTTTGGGTCATGTTTCTGTTGTCAAGAAGTTTCTCACAATATGGGGACCATCCTGAGAGAGGCAGGTGCCACTGTGAAGGGTTTAACAGTGGAGGACAGACAACTCCACATGCACCTAGGAAAATTAAGGATGCACAGCTGCAGAGCAGGGTCAGGTCAGGGAGCTGACAACACTAAGAGTGAGCAGCGGATGGAAGGGAGCTGCTTCCTCACCCAGCCTGATAGGATGCTTGCAGAGGGCAGGTCAGTTTGGACAGGCATGAACAGTGGGATGGTGGAGGATGAGGAGCCAATCGGATGTTAAGGGTGATCAGACATCAGGAATGGAGGCTTCTGGCCAACTTACTTAGCAGGACACTTCCTAAAACTGGACAATGCAGATATGGACACAGAAGCCAAAAATGAACTCAGAGTGAGGAAGATGAAATAAATATAGGTTGGTAAATTGAAACAACACTGAGATTCCACCTCACCCTGGAAACAATGACTATGTCAAGAGATCAACCAATAACAAATGCTGGAGGGACTGTTGGGAAAAAGGAGGCCTCTCCACTGCTGGTGGGAGTGTAGACTGGTACAGCCACTGTGGAAGTCAGTGTGGAGCTTCCTCAAAACACTAGGACTGCAGAACCCATTAGACCCAGCTGTGGATATCAGATTAACTTAAACTAGTTGAACCTTTGTTCACCTCAGGGATCTTGTGCTATGTTAAGCCTTAGGACTGTTTGTTCTCAGGGAAGTCTTACAGATTCATTATGTTTAAGGTAATGAATGCAGAACCTGGAGTCTCAGTGGAATGCTGCTGGGACAGCATGACCTGCTTTGCAAAGATGTGTGCAAAGGCCTGGTAAAGGTGAAGGCCAGGTAGAGCCAGAGATGGTCCCTGGGAAAGTTAAACAATTTGTTACCACCTATCTGACCTTTACCCTTCTGACATCCACTTCTGTTCTTCTTAAAGAAAAGACTCTGATAAAAAGCCAGAGAGAACTGTACTTGGGGCTCAGTCCTAGAGGCTACTACCTCTCCCTCATCCCATAACTTGGTCTCTTGTTTTCTTTTCATTGCCACACCTTCTTTTTGGGCACTGTCTCCTCATAGAAATCAACACTAGCTATTCCTCTTCTGCCTTCCCAGAAAAATTAAAAACATCACACCACAGCAGTATATATGGCCCATGTTCATAGTACACAATTTATAATAGCCAGACCTTGGAAAAAACATGAATGCCCATCAACTGAAGAATAAACAAAAAAAGGTGTGGTATTTTTATATAATTGAGTAGTACTCAGCCATAAAAAAGGATTAATTTGAGAATTTTGTAAGTAAATGGATGCAACTAGAGACTATACTCATAAAGGAAATAAATCAGACTTCCATATATGTGTAGATGATAGATAATAGACATACCTCTGAGGTCTTTGAGTTCATTGAAGAGAAAGGTTTGTGCAAATATTGTTCAGACAACTAAATGCAGACATCTTGAACTCTGAGTAACTAATTTAAAGATGACAATATGTAATGTATTAACCATTGTTACATCTATCATGGTAACATCTGTTGTGTTTTGAAATTTTGTTTTATTTTTTCTTCTTTAAAATTAAAAAAGAAAGAAGTAAAAGTTGAAAGAAGACCCCTCCAAAAATCATAATTTTAAAATTGCTTGTATAGAAAACAATTCCATGAGGCTTGGGATTTAGCTCAGCGTGTTAAATGCCTGCCTTGCAAAGGCACAATCCTGAGTTCGATCCCAGGTACAAAAAAAAAAAAAAAAAAAAAAAAAAAAAAAACAACAAAACCAGAAAGGAGAAGAAAACAAATCCAGCTTCAGGATACAAATGTATCCAAAGTTACAGTGTCTTTTTTCCCTTCCAAGAAACTTACTAAAAAAAAAAATCCACTGTCTTAAAGATAAAATAAGGCCTAAAACTGGGCCTTCTCTTGCCTTTTATCTAGAAAATGATCAATCGCATGTTACCTGTAAGTTGAGCCCCTGCTTTCCATAGATTCACAAATTCACAGATTTCCATGCCCCACAACACAGTAGCCCCCAGCCCTTGACCACAATGTGCCTCATTCTCTGAGTGCCTGCACTGTGTTTTGACTGTGTGTATCTTTGACTCTGACTACTAAATTTACCCGTGTCTCTCACAGGGATACACAGCAATTCTCCTCCATGACAAGCCAGGAACCTCTGCACGAGGCCCAGGATGAGTGGAGGTGCCCATCTCCTCTTTGTGGAGTCTCCTCAGACCCTGTCAGGGGACCAAAGGATCCTGACTAGGGTTTGGGCAAGGGGGGAATAGTTGTAAGACACAAATGCAAATGACACATGTCACTACCCACTAGAAGCCTTTAAGAGTCAGTGCTATGAAAGAAAATAAAATGAAATCAGGAAAGCTAAGACTTTCTGAGGTAAGTCAGGAAATGGATGCATGAGAGTACAAAAACCCACTGAAGGTTAAACTGCAGAATGTTCCCCAGACTTAGAGGACAACTGAAGTTTTCACCTCCTCCTCCAACACCTCTCACCCAGGAAGATCCTTGTTAACTAACAGTCAGATGCATGTGTGACTCAGGTGTCTGCCTAGTCAGGGAGCTGCCTCTGAAAATAACTCTGTGCGAATCTCCTACAACAGACTTCACTGCATCTGCCTTATGGGGCTGCCTTGTAGGGGGGGGCACCTGAATTGCAACACGGTTTCCCATGTACTATTTCTTTTGACTTGAATATTTTTTAGTTACCACTGATTAATTAGTAAAAATTATTTTTTCTCTGCTGTAAAAAGGGCAGTGTCCCACTGAGGGGAAGGAAGTGCAGGCGATGTGAGTTAGACACCACTATTGGCCCCTGAGGGACGCACACATGAGAAATGCTTTTTGTTTGTGTGTGTGATGGTTTGGATTGTAATTGTCCCTCAGAGATCCTTGTGTTAAAGGCTTGGTCATCAGCTTGTGGCACCACTGAGTTGGGCAGACCTTTAGAAAATGGAGCCTAGTGAGAGGAAGTTAGGTCATTATGGGTGTTCTCTGAAAGACAATGAGGGGCTATCAGGACTCCAGACACCACCCCTGCCAATTTTCTAATTACTAGCCACTATACATTGAGCAGTTTTTCTCTGCTGTGATAATCAGCCCTGCCCCAGGTCCAAAGCAAAAGGGCCAAGTGACCATGAACTGAAACTCTGAAGACACAGGCCACAATAAGCCTGAATTCCTTGAAGTTGCTTATCTCAGGTATCTCAACATAGGAGTGGACAGCTAAGACAGTGAGCACTAAGATTTGGGTTTCATTTGTTACTGAAGCTAGACTCAGCCTCTTCTGGCTAACAGAGAAATGCTGATTGCTCTTCACAGTGCTGTCTCCCTAGACAACTCAGCCCTTGTGCAGTGGCTCTGGCAGGTTCCTGATATCAAGACAAGGCCTGTTTCTCTCAGCCTCTGTTGGCCCTTGCTGCCCATGCGTATTGAAGAGGACCCAGCTGTTCTTCCATGAAGTGACTTTGCTAGGGTTTGTGGGCAGAGGGATTCCTTGAGGGCTTTCACGCCTGGCTTCCAGGGAGAGTCCGCTTCATCTGGTGAAATCTTTTGCAGAAGATCCGCATTTATGAATGTTTCAAAGGACTTAATTCATTTTTGATATTTTTGTGGTGCTGAAGCTGAAACTCAGGGTCTTGCCCATGCTAGTCCAATGTTCCTAACCTCTGAGGTATAGCCCCAGTCCCTAAAGATCTTGGTTTGTATTTCAGACCTAAAAATTGTTATTCCACCCAAAACTTTTGAAAGCCCTGCAAAAACAAAACAAAAAAAATATGTATTTATTTAAATGTCCACAAAATGTAACCATTTACTCAATGTCTTTATGGTTAGACTTAGCATTCATAAAATTTTCAGGTCAGTAAAAAACATGTAGGTTAGATTTTTTTGTTTGTTCGTTTTGCAAGAAGTCTTGAAAAAAGCCACACACAAGGTAATTGTTTAGAAACCACAGTGGCTCTTAAATTGAATGAATCACTTGTAACCAAATGATTTAGAAATTAATATTATAAATGCAGCAAAGAACTATCTTTTCTGCACTGGGGGTGTGTTTTATACATTTAATAAAGGATGTGGAGTACAGGCCATGTGTGAAGCAAGGTCTTCATGCTGTTTGTGGGCCTTTGTGGGACATGGGCTGGTGCCTTTCCTGTCTCTAATGGGGTTGGAAAGTAGCCCCTAATGTCTGTGTTCTCTGTCTCTTTAGAAACAGAGCCCTAAGAGGATGACACTTGAAGTATGATACCTGGACTCTAGCATAGCATCAACTTGGGTCTTGTTTTAGAAACATCAGTGCTTGTGTTTCACTCCAACCCTATTGAAACAGGAATCTGACAATGGGCCCAGCACTGCATTTTAACAATTTTTAAAAACATAAACACAGTGCTTCCAATTCATACAACACTTCCTCCAGTTGATCCACCACTGCTGATCTTCTCATGGGGCAACAATGAGCACAGGAAAAGACTTCATTTCCCAGCATCCTTTGCTGCAATGTGTGGTCATGGAAGTGAATTTTGAACAATTTGATGGAAGTGGAAGTAGGATTCCCAGGAAACCTCCTGGAAAGGAAGAGATGCCTCTTTGGACTTCTTCTCAAAATGCTGGGTTTGAATGGTCACTCACCATGATGTCATCACCAGAGCTGAACTGATGCCAGACCTTCACACTGAGCCTCTAGCATTGTGAACTAAATAAACTCTGCTTCCTCTGAAGTATCCAGCTACAGATAGTTCATTATGGTAATGAGACATAGACTAATACAGAGGGAGTGAGTTGGGACAGATGAGGTGACAACTGACAGGCCCACAGGGTCCAGCATACAGGGCACAGGGTGTGTTTCTCAGACAAGGCAGGTTTTTAAAATAAGCTTTATAGAGGCAGGATATATATGTCATAAATTATAATCACTCTACATGGACTATTCTGCTATTTGAGACTAAAAACTTCAATCACTGAAAATTTTCCCTTCTATTTTTGCAGGTCTAGGCAATTTAATCTCTGCCTGCATAGATTAAATTTACCTTTTCTATAATCTCATATAAAGGGGTTGCAGAATGTTTATACAGTGTTTTCTGTCATTCACACAATGGTTTTTAGAAGAATCCATGAGTCAAATTGTATTTTATTAATATATTATACTATGTTAGTCCATCTCCTAGCCAAAGGACATTTGGACACCTCTGAATTTTGGTGACAATATTTAAAACTACTATGAATATTCATGTACAAAGTTTGTTGATAGTGAATGTTTTCACTTTAGGGTAAGTGTCTTGGAGATATTTGCTGGATTGTACTGTCAGTGTAGGTTTGATTTTATAGGAAACCACAGAATTGCTTTCCAAAGTTTACTGTTTCAAATTCCCAGTGACCATCTATGTGAATTCTTGTCCCTTCACTTCTTTACCAACAATATTGTTGTTTGTTAGATGTCTATTATTGTGACAAAATACCTGGGATATTCAATTTAAAAAGCCGGTGATTTGGGCTCCTGGTTTTACTCTATGGTCACTTGACTCTTGCTTTGGGCCTGTGGTAGCAAAGGACATCATGGTAGGAATACAGTGGAAGAAACCTGTTCATGTCATGGCCACTGGGAAGCAAAGGGAGAAAGAAAAAGAGGAAATGCCAGGGTCCTATTTTCCTTCAAGAGAACATGTCAGTGATCTAACTTGCTCCTATGGGGCTTGACCTCCTAAAGGTTCCACCACCTTCTAGTAGTAGCATGGACTGCAGACCACAGTTCTAACACATGGGTCTCTGAGGGACATTTCAGAACTAAACTATAGTTAAACGTATTTTTAGTCATATAGCTAAACTTAATTCTTTGCATAATCTGGTCACAAACTGAATTGAATGAGAAGTGAATCAAATTCAATGGTTAGGTTCAATGTGGATCTTGTGAGATTTGAGTGGGTTTTCATCCAGTTCTGTTTCCACTACAGTTGTGGAGGGAAATACAGTTCATGAACCAAAGTACCACTGTACATGCTAAGTAGTAAATCACTGAGCTTTAATTTACATTTTGCTGAACACTAATAATAACAAGCAGCGTTCACTGGCTGGGAATTGTTGGTTCTTCACATCCATAATTGAAAAGTTCAGTCACCAGGAAGCAAGGCCCAGGGCCCCTGTCTTCAGTCTTCGCTAGCAGAGGTTTTCAGTGCAGGAATAAGAAATAGCCTGTAAGTTTATAGCCAGAAACTCTGCTTCTCAGATGGTTGTAGGGCAGGTAGAGGAGGATATCAGTGCGCTCCGCAGACTCCAGCTCAGAATGAGGAATTTAGAAGCTCAAGCAAGAGGAACATGATTTGTGGGTTGTTGGTGATGATTCCAGCTTAGGGTCTTGGAGATGATGGTCTCTGGCAGGGAAGGAGACCCAGCAGCCTTGTGCTGGGAGCAGTGCTGCCTTGATTGCATTTTCCAATTATAGGTATGAAGAACCAAAAATTCCTGGAAGGTGGGCTGCTGCTGTGACTCAACAGTACCCAGAATAGCTGCAAGGAAGAGCAAACATTATGTGTGGCTTATCTCAACCTCACTGTGGCTTTGGTTCATTGCCAGGTACCATAAATTCATGGTTCAAGTCTGTTTCCCAACAGTCTTCCAGGAGGTTGGTGGCACTAACTTACTCATAGATGAGGAAACTGAGGGTCAGGGAAGAGCAGCAACTTCTGAAGTATTATAGCCAAAGATGCTGACAGTATCATCATCATTATAATGAATGTCACACTGTAGAAACTACTTTAAAGCAGAGAAACTTTTAAAAGTTATATTTCCAATACTAAGCATATTTCTAAGACTGTTCAAGAATGAGACCAGGAGACACAGCCCATTCACATAGTTAGAAATCTACAGACTTAACGAGCCTTCATACCCCAGGTGCCAATTCCAAGATGGGAGTAACTCAGCTAGAAAGAAATGTTTCCCTTCCTTCCAAGCCCCAGAGAGTAACCACTTCAAGGACACTTCTGCTTGGTCTCAACCAATGATGCATTCTCCCTCTGTGCTGCATGATAGTAACCTCATTTAGTTGCTGCTTCTGTAAGAGTGAATTCTGCCTAGCACTTAGTGACAAAGACATGTGTAACCAACATAGTTATATTATGTCATCTCCCTTTTGTCCTTCCTTTTGGAAACACAGATAAATGATTGGAAAATTCCAGTCAGGGCTAAGGATTTGGAACTGAGATTCCCATCAGCCAGCTAGTGTAATAAAACTGTCTTCTAAAGTCCCTGTGGTATCATGTCGCCATTTGGTCTGGTCCTGAATTCCACATCAATATAAAATAATAATACTATTGATATGCTTAGAAAAGAAATGCTATACAACTGCTTGTAAGTACTGGACATGTGCAGTACAGTTTATAGGGTATTAAAGCAGGATTTGTTAACTGCTTGATTTGCAGTGGCTGGCCCACTGGGTTGTCTTAGGAAGTGGGAGCTTTCTGGTTCCTGCTGCGATCCCAGTTCTAAGCCCTGGCATATAGGAAGTACTCAGTATATGATGGGTGGGGGAGAAAAGATGATATTCAGCTGGCAGTTTGGCCAGCATAACAAGGGACAGCTTGATTTGGACAAGTAATTTTAAAAAACTAAGCAACATTGACCATCAACTCAGGCAACATAAAAGCTTGGTGGTGCCAAGGTTGATGAGTAAATAGGGATATTGTGGTGAGAATATAAATTAATTCAAAATGCCTACATAACCAGATTGGAAAAGGTCACACTTTCTTGGCCCAACAAACTTACTTCTAGAAATTTACCATGAGGAAATAATTGGGTAATCATACCAAACAGGTTGTACAAAGCACCCAAAATTAGGGATTAGTTTTAAAAACTCATGACCCATTCAGAACACAGTAGTCCTAAATATGGCTAACAGAAAATAGTTGGTCAACTGCACATAAGGTACAACTCACTCAGCTGTCATGACAGCCCAATGAAGTAACTTCCATGATTGTTGCCATTTCATAGATGAGGAAACAGGTCCAGAAGAGTTAAGGGTTTTGCTCGGGTCACATAGCTGAAGAGAAGAGAAATAAAGTGAGCCTGGCTACCGGTTCCTAAATTTGTGATCTTTGTCCACTGTTCACATAATGATGGTGACACCAGAATGCCAAGGTTGTCTCCCATAGCAGTGAGAAAAGAAACCACATATGGAAGGGGTAGGATGCAAGCAAATTCACTGAAAAGATACACTATCTCTAGCAAGTAAAGAATATGGTGAAGAACCACAGCAGATTACAGCAAACCCCAGGGAATCTACTGACACCTGAGAACGTGAACCTGCTGTCTAGTACAGGTGTAGAGTAGGATACACTTAGGCAACCATGACTTAGCATGAGATGACCACACATGTGCTGGTGAGGCCAGCATGCAAGAATGTAAACATAACAATACATACAGAGGCTGGATGATAAAGACACAATTGTTCTCTCTGCTTGCTGCCTGCTGCTGCTGCTGTGCTGATGCCTGCCTCCATGCTGTCTTTGGGGATGTCCTTAACCTCCTCTACTCTGATAGATATAAATGCAAGGAAGTAAAGTGCCAACCAGTAAGGAGGGGGTTCTGAGTAGGATACCCATGAGGGAATCTTTGTCTAGAAGTTGTTAATGAGTTTAGAAAAGAGCTACCCTATCAAAGACTACCTACTTTTCAGAGTCCAATCTATGTAGTGTTGCGGGGAATCACTCAGACAGTTCAGGGATGTCTAAAGACAACTGAGAACATGACTCTGGTGTCTGCACAGGCACACAGTGGGCTACAGTTTTGTAACCATTACTTAGCACAGGTGAACTCCCATGTGCTGGTTAGAGCACTACACAAGAATGTAAATATGAGATAACAACCTGTGTAAGAATTATACAACATAAACAGGGGTTCTCTGCTCTGTTTCACGCTGCCTACACTGTTGTTGATGTCTTGAACATGTACATTCTCTAATCTTGGGAACTCACCCATGAAAATCTTCCTTGGGTCCTCAAAGCAGGCCAACAAATGTTTGCACAGTGCCAGTGCAAATCCCATGTGCCCTACAGCCAATGGCCTGCCTGATCATGCTCTGGAAATGTCCCAAACAAATGAAGGACAGTCAGGAGATGTTTTTGGAATGTCCCTGGAGGATCACAATTCAGCAGGCTCCATTTTGGGCTTCCTGACTCTGTTTTGGGGCTGCTTCCCTGAATGCCTGGTAGAATACTAACTCCTATTTCAGTGATTCTTGTTACAATGATGTAAACATAAATCAATCACCCTGGAACCATGTCTACAATAAATTGTTAACAGGAAAAGGGAGGCTAAAAACATACAAACAATACTTACCTCTGTACATAGAAAAATGGCAAACCTTTCTACATTTTTTTCCTTGTTTGTTTGATTTTTTTGAAATTTGTAAATATTATCATAATTACCAAAAGATTAATTTAGGCAAAAAAAGAAAAACAAAAACTAGAGGATGGGGAAAATATCAATGATGAAACTTTCAGAGCCCGCATGTGAGGTGACCTGATTCAGGTCTCTGCTGCCTCCCACTGCAGAACAAGCCATTGTCCTCTTCTTTTCCTTAGGGAAACACAACAGCCCTTTCTTCATCCTTGATGGCCACAGATGTCAGAGTGAAGAAGCACTTGCAGAACACTTTTCTCTGGCCACCTCTGACTCATGAACACCATGGAAATGCTATTTCTCACCTTCAGTCTCTACAGCTGCTAACATAAGTGATCTTTTTCAGGGAGAAAACTAACTGTGGAAAAGCAATAGGATCTGTTCAAGGTCGTTTCTGTAGTAGGAGAGTCAGCATGCAGTCCCTGTTCCTGGTGTCTGTCAGCCACTTCCTTGCCATCTGAAGGCAGGAAATCATTCTGCTGTAGTACATTGCTTGGAAAAAAAATAAAACTTCTATCAAATGATAACAAGATTCTTAGCCTTGGGCCTCTTGATTCATGTTCCAAATGCAAGAGTCTGACCATTGAATATGGCCA